TAAACACTAAAACCTGAAGCCCTCAATCCGAAGCCCTAAAGCCCCAAAGCCCTCAATCCTAAACCCTAAAAACACTAACCCTAAAACCCAAAACCTTAAACCCTTAAAAACCTAAAGCCTTAAAGCCCTAAACACTAAAACCCTAAAACCCTCAATCCGAAGCCCTAAAGCCCTAAAGCCCTAAAGCCCTAAACCCCTCAATCCTAAACCCTAAAACACTAAAACCCTAAAACCCTAAACCCTTCAAGCCCTAAAGCCCAAGAGCCTCAAAGCCCTAAACACTAAAACCCTAAACCCTCAATCCGAGGCCCTAAAGCCCTAAAGCGCTCAATCCTAAACCCTAATCCTTAAACCCTTCAAACCCTAAAACCCTCTCTCTCTCTCTCTCTCTCTCGCTCTCCCTAAAACTCTAAACCTCACATCCTAAACCCTAGAACCCTAAAGCCCAAAACCAAAACCATAAAGCCCTAAAACCCTAAACCCTAAAGCCCTAAAACCATAAACCCTAAAACCCAAAACCCTGAACCCTGAAACCCACCCTAAAACCCTACAACCCTAAAACCTAAACAAGGGCATAGCGGCATCCAACGCTCCGTCTCCATCCCAATCCTGAGTTGGTTTTGCTCTGCGGACTCCTACTCTTCAGGGCTTTGGGGTGTAGGGTTTGGGGTGTAGGGTTTGGGGTTTAGGGTGTGGGGTTCAGGGTTTAGTGTTTAGGGTTTGGGGTTGGGGGTTCAGGGTTCGGGGTTTAGGGTTCGGGGTTTAGGGTTCAGGGTTTAGGGTTTAGGGTTCAGGGTGTGACTTTAGGGTTTAGGGTTCAGGGTTTCGGGTTCAGGGTTCAGGGTTTCGGGTTCAGGGTCTAGGGTTCAGGGTTCAGGCTTCAGGGTTTAGGGTTCAGGGTTTCGGGTTCAGGGTTTAGGGTTCAGGGTTTGAGTTCAGGGTTTAAGGTTCAGGGTTCAGGGTTTGGGCTTCAGGGTTTAGGGTTCAGGGTTTCAGGTTTTAAAGGTGATTTTACACTTGGGGCAACTCCTTCTACTGTTATGATAACAAGCAGTTGGGGGTGGGGCGGAGGGGTGAGATATACTTATCAAAGCGGCTCAAACATAAGCTTCAGTTGCACCCAAGAATCCACAACGCGAGCCACTGCAAACGGTCCGTGACTGAGGAACCCTTCATCTCCAAACATCTGATGAGTCAATGCCTCAGGAGCATCAGAGCCTCGGCGTTGATAGAAGCCCCCGCTGTGCAAACGCTCAAAGTACATAAACCCCTTTTCTGTGCCAATGATGAGGTCGGGAAGGCCATCACCATTCCAGTCCGCAGCCTCTGCCGATGTGTATATCCTGGCATCGACCTCTAGGAGAAGCTGCTTCTGAGCCAGGTCTCCAGAAGGCAACCGTTCCAGAAAGTACACAGCGCCTGGCTCAGCAAGAATAAGGTCAAGATCGCCATCCTTGTCAAAGTCCGCGGCTCGGGGCGCCTGGCAGGCTGATGTGTTGGGGCCCACAGTTAGGAGGAGCTCAGCCGCTGAATCATCACAGCTTCTTGCACCATGAAGTAAATCTTGCTGAAGCCATACAAGCTCAGTCATCCCCAAAGATTGCCGGCAGCAGATCAACCCAGGACGCCCGTTGCCTGCCCAGTCAGCGAAATCGATAAACCCGAGGGGTACCTGGACGCCTTCGGGCGAATTGTTCTGATCGGACAAGGTGGCGTTGCCAGACAAGAAGTGTAGGACGGCCCTTGTGTCGAGCACATCTTCATCCACGTCGGCGGGCGAAAACTGTGTCTTCGCATGGACAATGTCCATCACTCCATCTCCATCCCAGTCCACAGGGTACGAGAAGCCTGGTCCTTCGAAGCCTGAGGCGGTTGGCCATGAGCCATCGATCCGCAAACCTTGCAACTGTCCCCGGCATTTGTTGCTGGCCACGTTGCACCACTGGAAAATCTCTTCAAAGACGATGCACTGTGCTTGTCTTGACAGGAGCAGGATGACGCAGATTCTGCAAGCCATGACCTCCAGGCTGCTACGTTTTACCTTCCTAGACCTCCTTTTCGATGTTCCTTTTCTTAGTTTGCGATTGTTTGTGCTGGGATTTTCTCACACGAGTCAGCCTCATAAGCGCACATAAATCGACTGTTGCATAAATCCCTTTAACAAATCTGCATCGCCAAAACAGAACTGAAGCCGAAGGCACTGGCTGCACGCAGCTTCGTGGATTCCGGGAGGTTGGGTTGAGGGTCTAAACGGGCTTAGGATTGAAGAGAAACACTTTCAGTCTGTACGCCTCCAACCTGTGAGCACCCACGCTGGCTGGCCACGCCTGAACCGTCATCCTGAAACCCTGCACCTGAAATTTGAGGCACAACTTCCCTCAGCACTACCTCCTAAACATTCCTGAATCTCAAAGCCAAGACCGCACACCGAACCTGAATCCGAGAGCCTCCTAAACCTCAACGCCTGAATATCGAAGCCAAGTGCCTTACACTTACTATCATACCCCCAGCCGCCCCAAACCTACATGTGCAGACCTCGGCGGCTGAGACTGCCAAGCGCCCGAGCAGCGTCTATGGGCCAAAACACTTCGGAAGGGTCCAAGAGATCGCGTGTTGTGTAGAGTTTAGGGTTTAAGGCTCAGGGTGTAGAGTTCAGGGTTGGTGAGGTTTCGGATTTCGCTATTTGGGGGGATGGGGGTTTCTATAGCACGAGGAGAGCCATGCCTCCTGGATGCACAATGCGTGACTGCTAATGATGATGATGCGGAACTTTGTGGTAGAATTAGTCTCCACGATGTCGTGCAATTGACGATGCGACACGCTCATCCGGCCTGTGGTGGATGCCGTTCCCGTCTCTGTGGTCACCTTGTTTGGGCCGGATCCTGGTCAGGAGCCCCAGGTCTTTGAGTAGACCCTCGGCCATACCACTGCCAAGACTTAGTTTGGGATTTCTGGGGAAAAGAGTCTAGAGTTAGATGGTTTAGGATTAAGGTCGATGGGTTTGGCTGGGTTTAGCGTTTAGGGCTCGAGTTTTAGCTTCGGGGAAGGCTATGACCTTCGGGCCTTAGGTGATCTGGAAGATAAGGAACAATCAGCGCAAGCTTCTTGAAAATGCCTCAGCTACCTGGGCTACTGCTGAACTCCTACTCGGCTTGTGGGGCTCTGGCTTCGGCCATGGATTGCAGTTCCCAGCTGCTCGTTCTTCTCACCGACCCCAACCTCTCTCTCTCTATGTATATATATATATCTCTCTCTCTCTCTCTCTCTCTCTTTGGGATCTATATAGTGTCTCATGTGCTGAACTGGCCGCAGCGCGAGCGTATCGTGTTTTGGTGGCCATTTCTTCAGCGCTCTCTATCTCTCTCTACCCCTGAAATTTTCCGGGAGACCCAAGGTTAATAAACCTAAACCCTAAATCAGGGGACTTGCTGCCCTAAGCCTGAAGCCCAGAGCCCTAAAACACACAGTTTAGGGTTTCGGGTCTTGCCCCAAAACCGAAACCAAGAAAATAATGCCTGGGGAACAAAGGAAACCCTGAACCCCAATAGCCCTTTGCCAGGTCTCCTTGCCTCTTCCTGCAGCCACAGAGTTATGGGGGTCCCGATCTCCAGCTTGCACGGGGCTTGAGCTGGCATTCTGCATACTGGGGCTTTTTGATGGGAATCTAAAGTTTAGGGCTTTCTGGGGTTTAGGGCTTAGGGAGAGAAGCCATGCTGTGTGATCCCATCTTCCATGCTCTGCTACACTGTGAGGCACTAGAGTCGCGAGAGTAGACTATACTATACATGCTACATAAATTACGCTCTGGAAACTATGGTTTTGTGCCGTGTACTGTAAACACAGCATGCTATCATTCACTCTTCTACAGTACCCCACAGAAAAAGTCGTATGCAGTGCGGCATGAACGCATGATGCTTTTCTGAAACCTCCCAAAACAGAATACAGCAATCGGCTTGCCTTGGAGACACGACCCATACCTGCAGCCTCCTGCATGTTTTTTTTTTTGCTCGCTCAAACGATGTAACGACGATGGGCCCGGTGCAAGGTGACACCGAGGGAAAAGGCCCTAAACCAAAGTGACACGTGCGGCGACTACTATGAAGCTCGTCCTCGTGTCCACTTCGGCTGTCTTAGCCAGGATCAAGTCTGGCAGCTTGTGCAGTAGGCTTGGATAGATTGCACCATATGGGCATGTGCCTAAGTTGATATTCCACTTGGATCCTTGTTTATATTTCTCATACACCTATGCAGTAGTACTTCAAAACTGCCGAAAGTCCCTCAGACAGATGTTCTTCAGCGAGTAGCGTGGAAGCTCCAACCCGACGACACCGTCGGATTCGATGGAGGAGCGTCGGGTAGTGCAAATGACCTGGCCGGAGCCAATGGGGATGAAGGGCTCAGGGTTTCGGGCCTAAACCCTAACCCCTCAACCTCCCCCAACCGGGCTGAGTGTCCAATAGGGGCTCGGCGGCTGCTTTCTGGAACTAAATCCACCAAAACATCCCTCAATAAAAGTGGGGTAGATAGGGTAAATCGGGTCATCGAGGTGGCTTTTTTGAGGTTTAGGATCCCGAAAGCCTCAGCCCCTACATCCCCCTGAAATTCAAGGTCCAAGCTGCTGACATCAACGACCTGAAAGCGTTCCCAAGTCCATCCATCGGGGAGGTCCTGCATGAAAAGCCGTGTAGAATCATAGTATCTAGACTCCCCTTAGAACCTTCATAAAACACTATTGTTAATATCCTCTTGGGTTTTTATATGAACAGAAATAGAACATGAGCGCCAAGGGGGATATAGAGTATCGTATTGGGGTACTATAAAATTAGCTTATTAGCCAACTGTGTGCTCTCCTGCGCCGCGCAAGGTCCGCTGGCGTCGATGCCCGCCATTCCTGCGCGGTGTGTCCCTACACCAACAAAACCCTCAGCCCAAGAGCCTAAGCCCCAAACCTACACCCCACACACTGAACCCCACCCCCAATAAAAATAGCATCCTCAAACCCTAAACCCCAAAGTCCCAACTAGGAGCCTTCCCAGCTCGTCATCCGGAGGAAGCAGCTGTTCGCGGGATTATGCAGTCCAACCAAGCCATGGCCTGCTGGTACCACCTCAAAGCAGCGCCGTCTGGACGGCCGCAATAGTACACTACTCCAAGCCATCCCATAATCCTACAGTCCTACACTGATAACAGACGTGCATATACACACATGCATGCACTGTATGTAAGTACGCAAATAAGCAGGTATGTAAGGAAGTGTATGTGGCTATGGGTGTATGTGTCTTTGTGTTTATGTGCCTATGTGTGTATGTGTCTATGTTTGTCTATGTGTGCATGTGTGTGTGTGGGTGTGCGTGTGCATGTGCGTGTGCGTGTGCGTGTGCGTGTGTGTGTGTGTGTGTGTGTATATGTGGATGTCGATATGTATGCGCGTTTGTAGAAGTGTAAATATGTATACAAAAGTTATGCACCTATAGATACCAGACATGGAAAAGCATGTGCAGAAGCTGGGCACTGGGCTGGTGCCTCTCTCAGCTCAGCTTCGGGTGTTCGGGTCTTCAGCACAGAGCGCTGGGTTTAAGATTGTTGGGTCGGTCGCGACCCTTCCGAACGGTGCCCTGAAAATAACGGTCAGCGAATGTACCTTCGCTCACAACACCGCAAAAAACAAATGGCATATGCCCCTACCTGATTGACACCATTCGGGCAGAGGAACTCGTCGTGTCCACAGCCACGCGGCCGAAGGAGCTCGCGAGGCCACAGCATGCAGAAATCCATTGAAGGGCTCAGTGAGGGAGGGCGGGAGTCGTGTCAGGTTCCTGGTATGCATTCTGCTTGTCTTGGTCGAGTCATGCGGCGGCACTTGTTCAGGCTTGCTCAACGCTTCTTGAGCTCCAACGAGTCCTTTCACGCGAAGAAGGTGCTGCGTTTGGACAACCAAACGGCTGTGAGGAATGACTCATGACTTTCCAGAAGCCTTGTTCGGTGTTTAAAGGCTGAATCTGTTGTGCTTGGAGGCAATAGTAAGTCTCATGGTCATTTTCCTTTCACTTTTACAGTGCGAGGGCTGGTGAAGAATGCGCGCCAGGTCAGGCCAGGAGCCAGGGGTGATCAGATTCTTAGAGCGTGGGTTGTTAATAAGGCTGTGTATTTTGCTGCAGGTTTAGAGCCTGCATTTTATCCAGACGCTTGCAGGTCTAAGGACTGGCTAATGCCATTTCACAAGCTCTTGTGGCTCTTGGCATCTGTTTCGTGGATGGCAATCAAGTTACGTACGTCTCACCAAAGATTGCAGCAGGTATCACTGTCTGTATTTCGAACCTAGCCATAGTTCTCGTGAAATACCAGTTCGAAGTGGATTGTAAGTATGAGGGCGAGGGGAGAAAATGAGTCTCTCCTGTGTTGATGGGTAGATTGATGTGTTGGGTTGCCCAGGGGCTTGCTCTTCAGCCTGATCCTTCCGGTGGAAGGTTGAGGCTGGATTCTCACGTGTCTGGGTTCTCAGTCGCTGGAGTGGAGAAAAATTACACTGTGGAAACTGTGGTTCTTGTGCTGTGTATTGTACACTCTTCTACAGTCCCCCATAGAAAAAGTCGTGGCATGAATGCATGATGCTTTTGTGAAACCTCCCCAAACCGAATATAGTAATCGGTTTACCTCGGAGGCATGATGCTTTTGTGAAACCTCCCAGAACCGAATGCAACAATCGGCTTGCCTCGGAGGCAAGACCCATACCTGCAGCATCCCTGCATGTTTCTTGTTTGTTCGCTCAAACGATGTGACGACGATGGGCCCGGTGCAAGGTGACACCGATGGAAAAGGCCCAAAACCAAAGTGACACGTCTTCTCCGTGTCCACTTCGGCTGTCTTAATTAAGCCAGGATCAAGTCTGGCAGACTTTGTGCAGTAGGCGTGGATAGATTGCACCATATGGGCATGTGCCTAAGTTGATATTCCACTTGGATCCTTGTTCATATGTGTCATACAGGTAGAAGAGGTATCCCATGCTACTTCAAAGCT